AAAAAAAAAACATATTATAACAAAACGAAACTGCCGGAAAACAGTTTGTAGTGTAATGTCGTGGATTAGAGGGCAACACTAAGACCGCCCTCTTTACTTGTTAATAGCAAGCTCGGATGTCAGCATAAAAGGGCGCCAGTTGCAGCCGCTATCAGTTCATTTATTAGCTTACTGTATCTCACCTATAAACCCCACCAGCCGGGAAACCTTCCCTACTTTAACAGAAGTGTGCGTTCTTTTACGTTGCCTTCGATTCGACTAATGAAAGAAGGATGAAAGAGACAAGGCCAACGGCTTTTTAAAACGTCACCGCCCAATGACGCGATCGTCTGGGCTGAGACAAGGGCTTTTACAACCTTTAATGCTGCCGGACTAGTTTGGAGAAAGCCTATAGGATGGTAGGGAACAAACGTTGAGGTATCACTGAAAATAAAGTAATAACTTTAAGTGGTACATTACCATTGTTAAGTGGTTGAAGCGTATTATACAAATCTCACATCTGAAATTATTCAATGTCGGTCCCCTTAGTACACTTGTAATGCCACCGACTTGAAAGGCGCCGATTTTTCCTTTTCAGCGTAATCTCTCCACACACTTTTCCTAGCGTAATGTATAGCTTTTCTCTGCGACAATAAAAAATTCTAACTTGCAATCTGTTAGAGGCGGAGTCACTACTGAGATAGCCTTTAAGCAGTCTGTGTACATACAAGGTCTTTAAACAAACAGCCGGCTACGATTTAGCTTATATGTACATTTACGTGTAGACCTTAATTGGATTTTACGATCAAGCTACCGCTTCTTATCATCTTTAATTTTGGCAAAACAACAACCTCCTTTTGACCTAAGAGTACCTCATGAGGGAGTGATTTTACAAAAGCTAGAAAAAGATCTTTTCACCCTGGTTGTTGTACCAGTACTATCGAACAGCTTGCTGTCGAATCTTTGTACTAATTTTTTACGCTTTGACAATGCCAACCCCTTGTCAGTCATCAGAGCAAATTTCCTTTTTAAAGTACACCATCTTTTGATTCATACCCTAATGCGTGGATAAATGTTTCGTGTCTTAGCAGAAAGGTGATTTTAATCTACTGCTAAGCTGTTTGGACTTTCAGTGCAATTTACATAGTTCTCCTGTTACAAAGAATCATACTTAGTTTTTCTATTAGCTTACTAAGCACACGAAATAATTAGTAACTAAGTCACTACGTTATCCACCACCGAACGAAAATCTTGTACCCAGATCTCACTATGTCTTAAGCTGAAACGCCGTGGGAGATCTGGGTAACAGATTGAAGATAAGGAAATTCATAGTTCCCGTTCGAGATGTCCTCCCCAACCCATTCCCGTAACTCATGGAAAACATAAAAAACAAAAACAAACAACAGTAACAACAAAGCTAGACGTGGTCGCAGCCAGATATCGTTACTCTTGCACACCCTAGACTGTTCACACTCCCCTATCAAGATCGAGTACCTACCGTTGCGGCCGGCAATCTTGGTTTCATTGTACCGAGACCATCTTGGCTATGAGAATAAACATTTGAAACCAAGATGGCCGCCAGTTACAGTAAGCACTCGATCTCGCCGATCTTACTGGAAACATGGTTCATACAGAACTTTTTGGGAAAAAATCAAGGACTTTTCAAGGACTAAAATCATGTTTTTAAGGACTTCTTTTCCCCGATAACATGAAGTAAAGACCTTTAAAAACCGTAGGTAGAGGGGGATTTGCTTATTGCAATGCCTTCCTTCATTAAGGCACGGCTCCTAGGGTACTTCAAATAAAATAAATTGTGCCGGGAACACCGAAATCACGAAAAAATACTTTCATTTTCACCAAAACAATTTGTGTATTGCTGTGCTTTCAATCATTCCTTTGTGCAAAACAGTTTTTTTTTAACGAGGGTTATTTTTATTCAAGGAGCTTTCAAAAATATTTAACGACTTCTGTGGAAAATTCAAGGACTTTTTAAGAATATCCCACAATTTTTCAGTTTTCAAAGACTTTTCAAGGACAAGATGCTTTTTCAAGGCCCGTGCGAACCATGTAGAAAATAGGGGGCTATGAACAGTCAAAAAACACGTTAAAAACACCCTTACTCTCGCAAACATGGATACCCGTCAAGATGGCGTCGAAAACCTGCATGTCGGGGTCCATTTTGTTCAAATTTGTTGGGACCCTGTGGTGTTTTAACTAAGGCATAAAAATAACAAAAAACAATCTTAATTTTTTCCTTGTTTAAAATGGGGCATGGAATAATGTCTTCCTTTTCTAATACTGAGAACGAAGACCTTTCGAAGCAACCAAGCAAATGCGTCATGGAAAATTGAGCGCAAATAAAAGAAATTCCCACGTTTCGTTCGCTCTATTCATTTTAAAAAAACAATCTTTGTTTTTCTTATCGAGACGAAAAATCAACATCGAGATAAGTGATTTTTGGTGTTGTTTTAATTACGCTAATGGCCCCTAAAAGTATTTAAAATCGCCACATCGATAAAACGTACCTTATCGACGGGTGATTTGTTAGTTTTCATAGTTAAGTTCCATTGCGAGTAAAGAATGTCTTTACTCAACCAATCATATTATTTATGATAAGTTATCACCTGGACATCAATCTATACCTCTTTCTAAAGGTTTTATTGTGCGCTGCAATCAGATTTTAGATTTATATTTTACGCCCATTTTCATGAATTAAGGATTATCTGCTGTAGGAAAGAAGACCTCAAACATGTCAAAGCGGAGTGGAGTAGCTGATAGGGAGTTTTATCTGCGCGCTGAGATGATTTCACTACGAACCGAGATCGAGCAAATATCAAATATAGCGGAGCAACGTCGAACCCTTGTTGTTCTGTTCTAGCTTTCGTTTTGGGTTGAAGCGTTTTAGTTTCCGCAACTCAATTTTATTCAAATATGGGAGACGCAACAGCGCTTAACTGAAAGAAAATAATTGCTAGCTTTAGACTTAGTCTGAAGTGATTCACTGAGCAATGGCGAACGCGACATTAAACCAAACGACACTGTCTGAGACGGTCCTTATATATATCTGTCCACATCTACCAATTGAGGTTCAAACTCTTCCGTACATGGCGAATACTACGGCTCAAGTCATCACTTTGTTAACATGCATCGGCAACGGAATTTCCTGTCCAGTGGCTACAGTGGAAAATCTTTTAGTCTTCGCTGTTATTTTGAAAATTCGTAGTTTATGGACAGTCTTCAACACCTCAGTTTTATGCCTGGCATTCACTGATTTGTTAATCGCCATGTTTGCACAGCCAGCGTTCATTGCTTATCAGACAGGAAAGTATATAAGCTCTTTCGCTTGTATAGTCCCTATTTTATTAAAACCGTGTTCGAGTTTTGGTGCGTGGGGTAGTCATTTATCACTCTCGCGCTCATAACATTGGAAAGACACTTTGCGGTGTTCAAACCGTTTCATTATCGCGCTTCTGTGACGCGATTTCGCGTGCTACGCGTTACTCTAAGTGGATGGATCGCGTGGACAGTTTTCAGCTTCGGCCTTCGATTTTCTCCAAATGGCATGAACCTTAAAACATACTCAATTGTATCCTCTATCTTAATATCATTTACTCTAATCGAAACAGTATTCGTTTATATTAAATTGTACAACGCCACTAAAATCAAAGACTGCTCTGTTAAAACTGTGAAAGGTTTGAACCCAGGGGTCATTTCAAAAGTAGGTTGAGTTTGATCGTCCGGGTGAACGTATTCCTTATGTGGCTAATAACCAATCGGACCCAAATAGAACGAGTGATATAAACTCACAGGAAGCGAAGACTGCTAAAACAGTAATAATCATAACTGCGGCTTTTTTCCTCTGCTTCGTTCCGACTCAAGTACCAAGTATAAGCGAGGGACTTACACAGCATCCAAGAAAACATCCTAGTGTATCCAGTAACAGCTGTAAACCTGAACAAGGCTGGTCTGGCCAGAAGAAATAGTTTAGAACTAACAAAAAATAGTTTAGTTCAGTTTAGTTTTTGAAGTCTCTATTGCACTTCTCTTTTCTTTATTCCAGATACTTTTAGCTGATTAGATCTCTTCCGGATCCTCCTTGAGATCCAACGTTGAGACCTGTAGGATCCTCGGCCAGGGTTTTTTCAGCAAATTATTTCTTGATCATTCAAGAAAAAAAGTCGTTTCGTGGACCTCTTTTAGCGCTTCTTGCATAAATTAAAACGAGCAGTTGACCTCTTAAAATCCACATTTGGTGCCTGAGGACCAGTACTTGGGTACCGGCACCAAGTGGAGTTGTGTTCACACCTTGAGTAACCGATATGTGACTGTTTACATAGTTACTGCATTTCGCCCTTGCAAAAGCCATTTTCAAACATGAGCGTAGCAACTAGAGCAGTGGACTGCCCCATAAATGACAAAAACGGTGTGCACACGGGAACCCAGTGCCCACTGTTGTGCTGGAGTGCAAAGTCTCCGACCTTTTACTCGGCCACCGGCAACGTGCCCGAATTCTAGAGTGGAGACTTGAAAAAAGGATGTGTCCACATTAGTACCCAGCCAGTACTCGGGCACTCTGCGAACGCTGCCTTAAAAAAGTAACTGAATTTCAACTGCATGTTGCGAGCCTGGGCCAAACCCCTCCCCGTCCGATCATATTACAAGGGATGGGATTAATTAAGGCGCAGGATATACTTTGGTGAACAAGAACATCCTCTTCCTCTCTCGTGGCGAGAGGATGGGATAGCTTGACAAGTTCTTCCTCACATGAAACTTTATCACTTCCTTCGCTCCTTCCAAACTACTCGGCTCTCATTGTTCTTCCTTGAGAGGGTTGTTTATCATTTCCAAACCGTTTAGGGAAATTCTGGCTAGAAGTCGATGGATTATGCACGACGGTCGTTGCAGTGAGAATTTTCCGGGAGCAACGAAACGAAAGAATACTCCTGTTCACGGCCGGTGGGAATGTTTCTAACGGAGATTGATGTTCCATTTTGTCAAACCCATCTTTATTCCAGTTTCAGTCTTGGTGGCCATTTTTCGTTAAATGGGATTGTGCAAATTATGGTAAACGCATTTCACCCAGCGAAAATTGTCCTGGGTTATGTTTACTATTTGCCCATACCGTTTTACGACCGGATTACCCAGGCACATAAACTGTAAACAACTGACTAAGGTCAGCCAGTGAGACGCTATGTGACTCAACGAAAGCAGGAGACCATCCTGCCGGCTTGAACAGTGACAGAGAATATCAAGATATACTCAGCAACAACTTTTCCGTCTGTCTCCTCCGAAATAAAAACCTGTACAAAGCAACAACTCGTTCCAAAGACAATACTGTATTATTAATAATAAGAATAATAATTAAAAATAATAATAATAATAATAATAATCAAAATTTGCCCTTGGCATTAGCAAGTAGTATTGGTCCTCTCAGAGCTCAGCTGTGACCAGTTTCATTATTTTTGCCAGATTTTTCTACTCTCCGGACGTCATACCTACTTCCTACTTGTACTTAAAATATCTTTACAATTTACTATACTATCGATCGGGTTATTACGTAGTTAGCGATAAGCTAAATAACATAAATCGCTGATAAAGCGTAGATAAAAGTGCACCCATTGCGCCAATGATTGTTGACATGTTGACACCTATTGTTTCGGAAACCAATCAAATAGCTCACTCTGTCAATCTATTTACATTCATGCAAAACTGTACTTTTAAAAGTAGCTGAATTTACTACCCTGAAATCTTCGTTGGAGACTGCTGGTGATATTCTGATGCTGAAAGTTTAAATCATGCTATAAAATCTGGAATTTGGATCAGCAAGAATTTACGAAGGCTATGCATGACCAAGGCTCATGCTATGCAAACGTGTAAAGTCGTGGGGAGACAGCCTTTGCTTGAAGAGCAAGCGTCTTCTCGTTTTGTTGTTCGTTTCATCAGCGATATTGACGTATATTGTTTATGACCGTACATCTAGAAGCAGAAGTTCCTTAGAACAGTCTTATCTCCGAAGTTTCCAAAGTAAGAACAAAAAGACTAAAATATTTTCTGGAGGAGGAATTGTGAAACAGCCGAAACAGAAACACGTGGCAATAAAGGTGTCCTCGGATTTCAAAACAACACTTAATCCAGCTCTAACCTCATTTGGAGGGAAAAAATTTTCTTCGGAATCGCTCAAAGAGACAACCACTGATAGGAAATATCCGGTAAAGAGTTTTCAACGCCATGAAAAAAGCTCTGTTAACGAGGATGGCTTCATCACAGATGATGAAAAAAAGGGAAACAATTCGGAATCCTTTGCAAAAACAGTACATGGTGATCGGAAACGTTTGATGAATTTTAGAAGTCACGTTAAAGATGATGAAGCTGATAGGAACGTCGCTAAAATTAGAATCGAGGATGGAGAGATGAGGAAACGGCTCCCAAATGCTATTATCATCGGCGTGAAGAAAGGGGGAACGCGAGCACTTCTGGAAATACTGAAGATCCATCCAAGTATCAGAGCTTGCAGTAGCGAGGTTCATTTCTTCGATCGTGATGAAAATTATGAACAAGGTCTCGAGTGGTACCGGCAACAAATGCCAGCTTCATTACCCCATCAAATCACAATCGAAAAATCACCAAGTTACTTTATTACACCTGAAGTTCCAGAGAGAGTACATCGAATGTCCAAGACTGTGAAACTCCTTGTAATAGTTCGCGACCCTACTCGTCGAGCGATATCCGATTATACACAGTCACTGGAAAGAAAACCCGATAATCCTCCTTTCGAAGAAATGGTAATGGACGCTGATGGCAAAATCGACGAAGACTGGTCAAAACTAGAGATCGGTCGTTATGCTAAGCACCTAGCGCGTTGGTTAAAATATTTTCCTTTACACCAGATTCACTTTGTGAGTGGAGAAGAGTTGATCAAGCGGCCGGCGAAAGAGGTACAACTAGTGGAGCGATTTTTAAAATTGAAACCTTTTATAACGGAGGACAATTTTTTCTTCAACGAGAGTAAGGGATTTCCATGTTTTGTAGGCAAAATTACAGAGAACGGTTCGGTAAAAAAATCGCACTGCATGGGTGAAAGCAAAGGACGAAAACACCCTGTTGTTCAAGAAGACGTACTCGAACGTTTACGAGAATTCTTTCGTCCTCTTAACGGGAAGTTTTATTCCATGGTGGGGCGAAATTTTAACTGGGATTAAGCAGAGGCTTACTGGATTTATAAACTAAAGTTAGTTAGGTTTGAGAGCTGTTGAGCATTTCAAGGTGAATGTTGTTTACTTTGCAAATGATACATGCCGCCATGGACAAACATTCTCAAACGGATTATGCAATTGGAAAGTTCGAAAATTTTATTATGACATTTTCATTGAAAGGAATAATAAGATATTAGAAGCTAGCCAATTTTGCAATTCAAATATCTGGCATGTTCACTTTCATAGCATCTGACAGCTGGTCTTAAATAAGTTACTTTAAAAATCAGGAATTATTTATTTTTCCTCACATAACTATTTATTCAAAAATTTCCTTTTATTTAAGGTAATTTAATCTCCTTGGGGGCGATGGAAAATGTAATGCTAATGGAACTCTTGCCGGTACTATCACCCAGAGGGGAAGGATAAACAGGAAACGTTACTGGATGATTATCTGCTAAAAACTCAGTCTAAAAGCCTTAAACTTTTTCTATTTTTGCTCAGCATTCTGACTCATTTTCACTTTTCAAACGCTTATGTTAATTTCAATCTGAAAATATTTTTGACATGTACAAAAAGCTGTTGTAGAAAATTAATATGATACACCTGTCATGATTTGAGTGTTTCTCAAAATTAACACAAAACCAAAGAGTGAAACAAAACCTCAAAAATATAACCTTGGGCTTTCTTTTATGACCACAGTACACCTGATTAAGTTTTCAAGGTACTGCTTTAATTTGGATCTGTTTATTTTTTCCCTTGATGGTAGTGATGTCATTCAGCTCCATTTATAATATATTTTATAGCCCCACATGCTGATGTTCTTTGGTTTTTGTCACCCTTTCCTTGCCCACAGAGGGGAGGACTGTGTGACAAACCAAAAGAATGTTGGCATGGAAGGCTTAATAAGTGTGCTAGAATCACAAGCCCACTTGATTATTTATAGTTACCATCTCCTAGACCTGAGTTAGACCTTACCATAGTCACTGGTCATGGGGCTGGGGTTGCTTAAGCATTCCGTGTGTACAGACATTGTTTTGGCTAGTTACCATTGTTGCATGATGAGCGAAAACAAAGTCTGTGAAGGAAGCTAGGACTTCTTAGTAGCAGCAAGACAAGACAAAACTAGACAAGACATTTATTAAAATGCAATATTACTTACAATTTCTTGGCACTCAGTTAACCAAAACAGCCCAGGCTGGTAGCAGCTGAGAACATCTTTACATACTGGTGGACCTAGTTTTTTTCTCAGCGCCTAAAAGGAACAAATTTTTTTCATACAACTGTTTCAGGTTTAAAAAATCTTAATTGTCATTAGTGTAAGGGTAATCAGCACAAACTCACTTTTTACACCTTCTGAATTCTGCAGGACTGTGAATGTTGTTTACTTTGCAAATGATACATGCCGCCATGGACAAACATTCTCAAACGGATTATGCAATTGGAAAGTTCGAAAATTTTATTATGACATTTTCCTTGAAAGGAATAATAATAAGTTATTAGATGCTAGCCAATTTTGCAATTCAAATATCTGGCGTGTTCACTTTCATAGCATCTGACAGCTGGTCTTAAATAAGTTACTTTAAAAATCAGGAATTATTTATTTTTCCTCACATAACTATTTATTCAAAAATTTTCTTTTATTTAAGGTAATTTCTCCTTGGGGGCGATGGAAAATGTAATGCTAATGGAACTCTTACCGGTACTATCACCCAGAGGGGAAAGATAAACAGGAAACGTTACTGAATGATTATCTGCTAAAAACTCAGTCTAAAAGCCTTAAACTTTTTCTTTTTTTTCTCAGCATTCTGACTCATTTTCACTTTTCAAACGCTTATGGTAAATATTTCAATCTGAAAATATTTTTGACATGTACAAAAAGCTGTTGTAGAAAATTAATATGATACGCCTGTCATGATTTGAGTGTTTCTTAAAATTAACACAAAACCAAAGAGTGAAACAAAACCTCAAAAATATAACCTTGGGCTTTCTTTTATGACCACACCTGATTAAGTTTTCAAGGTACTGCATTAATTTGGATCTGTTTATTTTTTCCCTTGTTGGGAGTGATGTCATTCAGCTCCATTTATAATATATTTCATAACCCCACATGCTGATGTTCTTTGGTTTTTGTCACCCTTTCCTTTCCCACAGAGGGGAGGATTGTGTGACAAGCCAAAAGAATGTTGGCACAGAAGGCTTAATAAGTGTGCTTGAATCACAAGCCCACTTGATTATTTATAGTTACCACCTCCTAGACCTGAATAGACCTGAGTTAGACCTTACCATAGTCACTGGTCATGGGGCTGGGGTTGCTTAAGCATTCCGTGTGTAGAGACATTGTTTTGGCTAGTTACCATTGTTGCATGATGAGCGAAAACAAAGTCTGTGAAGGAAGCTAGGACTTCTTAGTAGCAGCAAGACAAGACATTTATTACACTGCAATATTACTTACAATTTCTTGGCACTCAGTTAACCAAAACAGCCCAGGCTGGTAGCAGCTGAGAACATATTTACATACTGGTGGACCTAGTTATTTTCTCAGCGCCTAAAAGGAACAAATTTTTTTCATACAACTGTTTCAGGTTTAAAAAATCTTAATTGTCATTAGTGTAAGGGTAATCAGCACAAACTCACTTTTTACACCTTCTGAATTCTGCAGGACTGTGTGGCACAACATTTTTACAAACTCGAGGGCTGTGGATGTTGAATGATATTTTTAACATCCACTTACGTAGCATAATTCGGTTGAATGTGGATGGCCATGAAAATAGATGGTTTGATAACAATTATTGAAAATGCTAGACCAGGACAATACTACAGAAGAAATGCCATTATTTTCATAGTATTTTTACTTGACAAAAGAAACCATTGTATCATGTAATTCAACAATAAACTTGTAACAGAAAATTATATTATCTTGTGAATAGATTTTTGATGCCTTAATTATAAAATAAATATTAGTATATACGTTTAAATCCAAAAAGACTTGTTTATCTACTGGCTAGAAGTTTCAAAAGAGCCTAACTCCTAGAAAATATGGACTCTTACTTTTAAGAACACCAGCTCCCAGTCCTGAAGGTATTGTCATGAATGGGTGTTAACTGTATCAGGCTTGCAGCAACAAAAGGAAGACACTTGGCATTTTCCTCATTTGAAGGTTTTTTTTTCTTTGTGTCAGGAAAAGTGATCCTCAGACCTTAATTGGGAAAAAGGGAATGAGTCAAGCAAGGACCAGCTTCCCTTTTTTCTCTTGCCTTCAACTCGTTACTTTTAGCCCCCCCCCCCCTCCCCTACACGTATTGTCTGTTCACAGGCTTAACCTTCCACCCCTCTAACTATTCATATTGTAGCCTTTCATTAGTGCTTAAGACATTACCTTGAGTTCATTCTGATTGTCTACCTATGTATGTAAGTCCTGGTTATTGCCAAACTTAATAGAGCCAGGTGCTGTTAACTGGGAATGGGATATTTAGGGGCGAAATACTAAAATTTTCCCACAGTGATTTTGCATGTCTCATGCTGATTTCTCTCCCTGGATTTCCAAGAATGAAAAGGAACTGGTTAATAGTTTTCCTCAGAAAATTGCCTTGCTGGTCTGTGAATGTTTTTTTGACCCCCAGGGATTTGACCCCACCCCCAATCCAAAGAGAGATCACAACCCCTGGGGTACAAATGCTGCCCTGTATGGTCTATACAGGTATGTGCCCCTGTGAAGGGGATGGTTTTCAAGCAGTTTACCATGAGATGGGGTATAGAAACCAGAGACTTAGGGTCTAGAATAGGGTATCATTTTCAAGGAAACTGATCAATTGGTTGAAGATTGGAATCTAGACTAGGGAAACCAGGAATTGCCACTCAAAAATATAAAAAAATCAAATCGGTTTTGTTTTGGCTGGACTGTGCTAGGGACCTAAGTAATTTCTGGAAAACAGCTGCTCTAGGATAGGGGGGATTTGGGGAGTTTAGTGTAGCATGGGGTAGTAAAATTCAGCCGAACTAGCTCTGGTACGAGGCTAAGGGTTCCAGGTCCAAGCGGCAGATCCCCACCCAAAAATTCCTAAATTCCCCTCCCCCCCCCCACCCCCGGGGCACAACCAGGAAGATTTCATTTGGGCCTTATTTCTTACCATACAAATTGGGAAATTCTGTCAAGAGTATCTGTGCGTAAGGGCAGCCCACCATTTTGGAGGGTTCACAATCTGTTTTGCCAACTTCTGATCACCTCTGAAATGTAAGGATTTTGTCTCTTGGAGAAAAAAGCACCAATTTTGAGAAAACCTTCCCTCATAGTCCTTTGCATTAAACCTATGGAAATTCTTGCAACCGTGTCAGAACAAGACTTACATGTCCGATTATGTACATACAGATAAAACGGAGATTTTTGTGAGATGTCTATCATGATCAAGTCTACTTGGTTTTTTGCGATAATAATTGCTTTAGCTTAAAAAACGAAAGCCATCAGGTAATCGGTTTTAAGCCCTATCAAATCAACTGGTATTATTTGTACTGAGAAACATTGGTAGTTACCAGTAAAGGTCAAAATGACCTACAAATAACGTATACGCAAATCACCTCCACGCCAAGAGATAATTTCAGTGAGCTGAGAATTATATGCTTTTTATTTTTTCTGCCAGAAGTAGGAGGAAAAACAGTAAATCAGCCACCCCTGTGGATTATAGAAAATAAACGAGTAAAATAAAAGTTACCTGCTAATGTTTTGATTACAAAGAACAATAAACAGCTGTAAAGTAAGATCAAAATTGAGGTTTTTTCGCAAGCGAGATGTCCTCATGCAAAATTCTTTGATTCTCGCGCCTTCTTTCTACCCTCGTCACAGTCCTCCTCTAAACACGTCATTGTGCACGTGTTTTACGGTGCGCTCGGCTATGATAGGGAAAATGGCGGACGAGAAAGAATTTGATGAAAAGGCTGGTAATAGCGATTCGGACGAAGAAGACGAAGACGAAGACGAAGAAGAAAATGTCAACGGAAGAAACAATGAAGAGGAAGATGAGTCGGAGTTCGATGATCCAGAAGACTTTGTTGATGATATTACCGACGAAGGTTAGTTCTTGTTCAACACGTTTTAAGCCTCGAGGTCTGAATCATCGCTTTTCACCGGTATTGACTGTATTTAAGTCAACTAGGTAGCTGAAAGGAAAGATAGAGAGTTGTAAAGTTTAAAATAGTTCTTTGTTTCTCCCGTTTCTTAACTTAAGTCTACCTCGTGGTTATAAAAATGTTAATTAAGAAGTCCAGCGGCCGGCCTTATTAAAGCTTATTAATTCTTTTTACAGCTTTGTAGTTAGGAATACAAAAGGACTGAGATAGGCCTTCAGTGGAAGCCTTATCTCAGTGGTTCCTGATAGCGCTTTCCCTTTATTTGCCGTAGTTTAATACCAAGAAATATAATGTGAGTTCCCCTATTGTCCATTGCACAGAGTAGCTGGTACATTTCAGTATTTATACATGTAGCTTTTAAAGGTGATTTTTATATGTAATGATTTTTCTTGTGTTCCCTTTGTGCCAACCCCTTTCTCGAAATGGAATGAAAGTTTCATTACTCTTGAAAACTGTGAGGCACATTTTATTTACAAAACTGACTTAAATACACATGTACAACGTAGTTAAAGTCCAGACATATGCTTTGTTCTCCTGTATATGGAAACTAATGCTAAAGGAACTGAAAACATTTTTGTTATTCTGAGCTAATTTTCCTCTTCGTTTTCACAACAGTTTGTGTATTTTGTAATTTAAACTAACTTACAAAGGAGAGTATACCTTTGTAAATGTAACAAACTTTCTTTTTATCATTTTCTCTTTCGTTTTTTCTCTTCTCTTCTTTTCTTTTCTTTACTGTTTTGAAAAAATTAATCCAAATTTTCATTCAGTACCCCTAACTTGCATGGTTTACCCTATAGTTCCAGGAAGCCTATTGTTTATAAGCTCCCGGCTTCTATATAAGCTTCCTTGGTTGCCATTACCACTTTAAACATTTGATCTAGTAAATAATTTAGTTAGAATATTGTATATTATCTTTAATGTATTATAAATCTCTGTATATTGTAGTGGTGTTCCTGGTTAATGGCAAAAATGAATGAATGAATGAATGAAGGAATAAAAGTGTTGGAAACATGAAAAAAAACACATTTTTTTCAGAGCTCCTGGGGGACATCTTAGTAGAGAAGCCAAAGGAGACCACTGGAACAGACCGGATCATTGTTGTGGATAACGTTCCAACAATTTCACCAGACAGACTTGAAAAGCTTAAGAATGTGATCAGAAAGGTGTTTTCCAAGTTTGGAAAGATTGTTACTGAGCACTATCCTCAGGATGAAAATGGACAAACCAAAGGGTAAGAAAGCTATGTACATGTTTGAACTATAAGAATTAGAGATTTATTACCACAACAATTTTTACTTGCTAATTTATACATCAGTTTAGTATAAAGTACATGTACTCTGATGAGGGCCTGTCCATGTGCGAATCGAATACATTGCAAGTACATTGCATGTATGTAGCAAATTGGGGCAGAAAAGGCAAGTCATAATAAACGTTTTTGTATAGAATACACAAAATTTGGTTTGGTTTCCCAAACGATGGCATAAAACAATAAATGTTGGAATATGATTCTGAGAACAAATAGTCATCATCAACATCAGGGCAACCTCAGCCAACCTGATTGCCTGGCTGTCCATTTTGTCCCAACTTTCATTCACGGGGATATGTTCAGGTGCTTGAGGCTCCCTTAGCAGATTGTCAGTAAATGTAATCACTGGTTGATCAGGAAAATACAAGATAAGTTCAATCTGGTTTACATGTCTCCAAAGCTGACTTTGGTTATAAAAGCAGTAATTAAACTCTGAAATGCACGTACCATATTTATAGTATGGGTAATATCTCTTTTCAGGTTCATTTTCTTGGAATTCTCCAATGCTAATGATGCAGCTCAAGCAGTCAAAACTGCCAATGGATACAAATTAGACAAGCATCACATCTTTGCTGTAAATCATTTTGAAGACTTTGACAAGTAAGCCTTACCGGATTGCACTGAATAGATTGTTGGTCAGCTCTTACATTAATCTGAACATCTGTGTTTGTCCTACTTAAAGAAGAGCTTTTGCACAAGATACAAGTACCCAAAGCAGCAGTGCTACTGTTTGCAACACTTATGTTTACAGCTGTATGTTGTGGGTCAACCCTATTCCTGGTTTTCATTTCATTTTCCTTTGTTTTGAATGCAGTGCCAAAACTTCATACTCAAAAACAAAGGAAAATGAAATGAAATATAAAAAAAAATTTTAGTCTTTTCTTTTTCTGTTAATTTTATTTTGTATGAAACACAGTGGCTCTTGTTGGATAAAATTATAAGATTATTACTTTAACATGTTAAGAGTTGTGCTAATGAAAGCATTTACCCTGTAGATTAGTGAGTCTAACAAAAGACTGGGAACCACCTACCAAACAACCCTATGTTGAGCAGGTAAACTACAGTTACTGCACTCCTTATTATGAGATGTTAACATGAGGTGCCAACCTCCATACAAGCTAATCATCATGTTGCACTTCTGCTGCTAAGAAATGAAATACAGCTACTGTGTGAAACAGTGGTAAAACCTCGTTGTCTTGTTTACAACTTAATTTTCTTTGAAAAAAAGATACTATCTGTCTATATGTTGTGGTTCAAATTAATCCTTGGTTTCAATCTTATTTTCTTGTGTTTCAAAATCATTATCATACATTACCATACCCAAAAACGAAAGAAAATAAAATTTAAACCAAGGATAAAATTGGATCACGACATATGGATGAACTAAGAAGCTTATAAAGCCATCTTGGCAATAGCTATGTGAATTCAAAAAAGCTATACTTTATTAGGCAAAACAACAACTTTGCATGTACATTCAGCTTTTTGGTGCCTTCAGTTTCTATCACAGCACAACTTCAGTGTGAAACTTCATTGTGTGAGGTCTTTTGGGCGACATAAACAGACAATGACAAATTTTTCTTTTTCATTCTTAGCTTTGATTCTCGGAAAATTTGCCTTTTTTAACAAATCAAGCGTATTGAAATGATCACAATGAATTTGAAAGAACACAATTTCCCTTTATAACTGATGATTTTTCAGCCATCACTGTTGTGTTCTACCGTGTCTTTTATTTTTACCTAGTAATGCATTTTTTTCTTATGTTATCAGGCAAACCTAAGATCTTGGCTTTTGGATCCAGATTGTAATGATCAGTATGTTGTGATCCATGGAGGAGGAGATAAAGTTGGAATCATGTGGAACACACCTCAAGAACCTATACTTTCTAGGGAAAGAATGGTGAGTTTGATTTCACAGTGCTGTAGCAGAATCAGGGCTCAATGTAATAAACTGTTGCAAGTGTTATTTACAATTATCGCTTTTCTTAGGGTCTGAAAGTAACAGCTACCCTTGTAAATTACACTTTTTAAATTTTTGTTAAATTTACCCCAGCTTGTGCAGTCATAGTTAATAGAGGGAATGGTTATGAAACCCGACAAAGTTCTTTGTTGTATGTTTTTGTTCTCTTTTTTGGCCTTGACCCTGCACAAAACACAATAGTTGTTTACTCCGTACTGAGGAACTAACCAATGGAACTAACCAATAGAAACGTGCTGGTTACGTAATTCATGCATAACGTATGAACGCAAAACAAAAGATTGTGCAGGGTCGTGGACCTTCTAACATAAATCTTGGCATCTTTGTTTGCTCCTTTGATGTTTACCGGGCTTCATAACCAGTCACCTCCATTAACTATGGTGCAGTGTAGAGAACCATAAAGACTGAGTAAGCTAATGATTTGCAGATTGGTTAAGGCTGCTGTGTATTGTTTCAACTCTTATGGCTTATAAGAAAATTTAAACACATTCTGCCGCTGCAAATACCTAAAGATACTGCAAAACAAGCCAAACTTGATCCTGGCAGTAAGTGATGAAACTCTCCTTTTGCCAGTTCTGCTGCTGATATAAACAATGCTGTGAACTAGGAGAGAGCAAACTGATTACTGCTAAGAATTGTCACAAAGATAATAATGTACTATAAACACTAGCAGATAAGTCACACCTCAAATTTAGTTTTTTTTTTGGGGGGGGGGAAGCCTACCTGAGTCAGAAAGAGGTTAAACTTTTGCTCAATGAACATAACCTCACCTCATAGCTGGAATTCTTATTTATTCTTTAGCCTTATGCACACACACATTTTAAGGAAATTCACATGTTTTCAAGATATTTTACAGATTAATGTAAGCAATGTCTTGGTAGGGAAAAAGGTGCACCTGTTACCTGTTACATGCAATTTGCTAGTTGTTTTATGTACATGACTTATAATAACCTAAACACAGGCAAATAAGCTGCATCAGCAATTAAATACTGGTACTCCAGAGGATTCCTTCTTACTAGGTTAAACCCTGCATGAGGGGAAAAAGATGCTGCCTCTAAACCCTGTAATAATAATTTTTTGGTAAATCTACTGTTTTCCTTGTTATAAGAAATTTGTTGAACTGATTTTTGTATTTATTTTGGATTCGTGTAGAACTGGACAGAAACCTATGTACGCTGGTCACCTAAAGGTTCATATTTAGCCACTTTTCATTACCAAGGTATAGCTCTTTGGGGAGGAGAGGAATTTAAGAGGATCATGAGATTCAGTCACCCTGGAGTTCAGCTTATAGACTTTTCTCCTTGTGAAAGGTGAGTATGTTATGCAAAGATAACAACAATATGTTAACACAAGGTGTAATAATAACATTTCTTGATTTCACCATTATTTTATTACTCAAACCTTTAGGCTCCCAACCACAAAAATGTTTAGTTTGGCCTGCTTTCCACACTAAAATTGTGCTTTTGGAGTGCATTTTGGAGGGGAGGCAGCGTGGCTGAGTGGTCAGCGCGGCTGAGTGGTCAGCGCGTCGGACTCGCAATCTGGCAGTTGAGGGGTTTGAGTACCGCGCTGTCCACTTGCTGGATTTGTGCTCAATTGTCCCAAGTTCAAATCCTCGGCCACACTTGTAAATAGCCAACTGGTTGCCTCCTTGCCAGTTGGGGTTTTAAAATCCTGTTATGTTGTATTTGAATTAATTGTTTTCTAAGTATTAACTGATTGTAAAGGGCTTCGTATCACTAAGAGAAAGGTGCCATATAAGTGTATATCATTGAAAAGGGTTTCCACAGTGGAAACATGGAAAATACTGAAATTTGGGAATTGCTATGTTAATATAGGCTTGTAGCCATAATATGACCAACATTTAGTACTTGATGCTTTTAAGAAAATCTGTACTTGTATCAGTAGAAAACCATTAATGGTTTTTCTTAAAGTTATCATAACAGTTCCTAATTTAATTTATAACAGTCGCAGATTGCACTTCTCAGAGCATCCATGCCCCGCAACCCCACAAGAAAGTCACATTTGGCATAGCAGCCCATTATATCATTCTCCACTCAGTTATACCTCACCCACTTTAAAATTTTCAATGCTGCCCCTAATTTGTCATTGACAAAATTAATGCAACAAGTTTTTGTGACATATGTTTAATTCTTCAGGTATTTAGTAACATTCAGTCCATTAACTGACACTCCTGATGATCCTCAGGTATTGCCTAGTTTTATTTTCTTGATGTCACTCTTAGATCATATTAATTTGTCATTTGCATTTGTCTTGTTCTAGTCTGTCTTGCTCTGTCAGCTGCAAAGATCATGGATATGAAAATCAGGGTGTTCTGTTGTTATCACTTTACACTGTAAATCCTTTTAATTAATACATGTAATTAATGACAGTTTTTTAACATTCTCTTTAGGCCATTGTTATATGGGATATAAGAACAGGGAATAAGAAAAGAGGATTTTTATGTGGAGACCAGTCTCAGTGGCCAGTGTTCAAGTAAGTTATTCTTTTGAATTTTTAAGGCTCTTTAGGGTACATCTTTCTTTGTAGGGGGGCAAATGTCACGTGCAAAGTAGTATGATGCCCAGGTTTATTCAGTCTAAGGGCATTTTAATCTTTACTGTGGAGAACTGTTTTTTTGTTCTCTCCAATGTCTTTTCAAGTCTTACTACCCAGTATTCCAGTGAATCGAGTTGAGAAGAAAAACCAACATGTACACTTGAAAATATAGTGCAAAGCTCTTTTTTCTGAAGTTGCCTCATTAAGCACTGAAAATATTTTTAATAATGTTATTGACCATTAGTCATTTAGAGCAGTGAGAGAACATGCATATCAATTCCTCATTTTAATGTTTTATTATACAGAAGGGTAGTCATAGAGGATATTACATGGCCATGCGGAGATACGAACTTTCTCTTCGAGTGTTGAAAAATATTTCACGGGTGAGCGCAGTGAATGAGTGAAATATTTTTTCTACACGAAAAAAGAAATTTTGTATCTCCAAGCGGCCGTGTAATGTTCTATTTATTATATAAACACCAATGAAATACAAAACCATTTCACTCTAATAGTTTATTGGTGTGAAAGGTGCCATGAAGCCATAGCAATGGTGATATTTTCAGGTGTGAAGATAACATGTTATTGTCACATGTGAAGATACCAAGTTTTTGCACGAAAGCTCACTTGGTATTTCATTGGTGTTTATATAATAAGTAATAATACAGCAGTAAGTGAATACTTATGTGTTAAAAAGTTGTACATTTAATAATGATAATGATCGTCACAACAAAAATATTATTTTGTTTTCGTAGGTGGAGTGCCAAGGGCAAGTACTTTGGACGCCTAGGAGAGGACAGCATTAGTATATATGAAACTCCAGTAAGTTGCTGGATTGTTATTAATTTAACTAGTTTTTTCTTATTATTGGCTGACTTTGGTTTCTCTCTGCCCCATTTGATTCAGTGGAGGAATGAAGAATGAAGCTTTATATAATCTTTGGTTTGATGAGGTTGGTTAGACCTCTAGCAAAAAAACTATGCTAATAAGCCGAGAGAAAAAGGAAAGGGGCATTATTAAAACTAACATTTTATAGGCTATTTGGATTATTTAGACTGTTCACAGTCCTATTTTTCTGTGAGATCGTCGAGATACTGTATAGCCCGTCTTACTGTTAATGGTGGCCATCATGAATTTCAAATGTATATGTACCAAGGGGGCGGGCGTCGGGGATTATAGCTCTAGGGGAAGGGGGGTGAGAAAAATATAGGGACTGTAATAAAATCACTGCAGCTTGCATTCACAGAGTGATTGTACCAGCAATGCAGGAGTTTGATTGGTCATTAGACAGTAAATGTTAATTTGCGTTGACAACGGGTTTAGTTTAAGTTGCTGACACTGACAAGTCATTGAAAAGTCATTGTTTCTATAGAACGTACGATTTTATAATACTGCCATAAGGCACATCTTGAGCAAACACACAAAGGATTTTTGGTATTTTGTGGATGAATCACATAAGCCAGCATGCTTTTGAAGCAGCCTGGCAAGGGGAATGTTGTAACTCAACCCTACGCTGACGCAAAAAAAGACGACCTGTCAGAAATGCCTGGCTTTTTATCGGGAGGTTTAACCATTTTAATCAGTGGTGAAGCGAGCATGCTTAGCACTTTGATTATGAAAATGTTTCACCTGTGAATGTTTGACAATTTTATTTTGAGGAATGGCCCAGAAACTGTATAAAATCACTGCTTTGAAAGGAGGTATTTGTAAACACGCAAAATCAATGCTAAACGTGTCTGGCGTGTTTTTCATAGCCTGCAGAGTTTCTTAATTAATGAATGGTAAAAGGCGTGAAATTCCTGTCACGCCTCCTGAACACAAGCTGCAGTGATGTTATTACAGTACCTCTATTTTTCTCGCTTCCTCCCAAACAACCCCCCATAGCCCCTAAGTAGTATTGACACTCATGCCGAAGATGGCAGCCCGTAACGCAAAGCGCTCGATCTCAACGATCTTACGGAAAAATAGAGGACTATGAACAGTCTAGGATTATTTCACTTAAAATTTTTTTCTCTTAAAAGATTTTTTATTTACTTAATTATTTTTTGTAGTCTTTTGGTCTCTTGGAAAAGAAAAGTTTAAAGATCCAAGATGTTAGGTGAGTATTACACCTCAATCAGTTTGGTAGTTAAGGATGGATATTTATTAATTTTATCTAAGCTCTACAGCTTTGATATTAGACTGAATAGTCATCATAATAGTTGAGTTTGCAAGAAGACAGGAATTGACAGAGAATGAACAACAAAAACAACAACAGCAAAAAGCTTCACATTATCTTTCAGCCAAACAAAAATTCCTTCTCGTCTGGAATAGTTGTATTAATTTCATTAAGTTGCTTCTGGTAATCAACTTTTGAAATACACACTTGGATAGGCCTTTGATTTGGATTATGACTCTAATTACTGTTTATCATGATGGTCTTTGGTTTTACCTGAAGGCTTTTGAAAATTGTACCAGATTTAATGGCTGATGACTAATGGAATGATTCAAGGTTAGCTTAGGTGTACATGTTTATTGCTTTGTTTTTACCAGGGATTTTGCCTGGTCACCATCCGATGACATGATAGCTTTTTGGGTTCCTGAGAATAAAGACACTCCAGCCCGCGTAACACTCATGGAGATTCCTAGTAGGAAAGAAATCAGAGTTAAAAATCTATTTAATGTCTCTGAGGTAAAATTCTCTTATTTTATATTCATTATTATTTTTTATTAACATTATTGTTATTACCATTATTGTTTTTGTTATTTTTATTTATGACATTTGCAGTTGAGATTAGTACTTATGGTGACCTGGTCAGAAATGCATCCTTTCTAAAAGAAAAATATATTTTTGCCACCCTTAGAATGGTTAACTTATGTGTTAAGTAGATTTTTATGTTGTGTCTTACTGTGTTTTGCTTATGTTATCAGTGTAAAGTGTTCTGGCATCAAAAAGGAGATTACCTTGCTGTAAAGGTGGACAGGTACACCAAAAGCAAAAAGGTAAGAGACTAGTTTCTGACAAACACTGACATTTTGCCGCTCATGTGGAAATTACAGCAAGATACTGCAGCTGGTGAAACTCTACGTTGAAATAATTATTTTAAATTTTTGTACTCCTGCATTGTTTTTGTGACCAGGTCTACAATGTTGCTGTATTTGTTGACAAAAAACAAGTGAAATTAATTAAATGCTGGTTCCCTAATCACTCTACTGCTGGTTATAGAAATTTATGAAATACCTTTTAGAGCTCTAATCAGTAACATAATGATGAAAGAATATCCATAAAACTGGCAGTAAGTGATGAAACTCTCCTTTTGCCAGTTCTGCTGCTGACATTAAAAGTGCTGAGAACTGGGAGAGAGTAAACTGATTTCTGCTATGTTTATTTTGTCTTTAGCGTGGTTCAGACAATCTTGAAAAGGTCTTGAATTTTAGTAGTCATCTTGAGAAGTACTTGATTTCTTTCTAAGGTCTTGAAAAGTCCTTGAAATTCACTACCTTGTCTACACCTGACACAATTTTCTGTATAATTAGTTTTTTTTTCACTGAGGAAAATTTGGCTCATCCTCGGTGTGAGAACCTGTAAAACTCACGGGTAACGTAAAAACATTTTTGTGCATGAACAATATTTTACTACTGTTTCTTTATTTCAAATTATTTTTGTGCCTAAGATGCAATTGCAAGTCATTTTGCAGAGTGTTGTCGCGGAAAGTAAAAAATAATGTGATCAACTGTGGCTGAAGAACTAAAAGTTGCAAATGACTCCATGACTTGTTTTAGCCATTCATGAGGTGTTCAAAAGGGGATTAAAGAACACTGAATTTTAAATTCTGAGTAAATCTTAGTCCTTAAAAACTGCAATTTGTCCTTGAAAAATCCTTGAAATGTGTTTGTGTGAAGTTGTACGAACCATGTTTAGGAAAGTTCTTTTCAGACTAGGATCACAAAAATTTGCCCTCAGATACAAATAAGCCTGCAACCTGGAGTAGTTTTACCTAGAGAATTAAGTGTACTTGTTGTAATATACCCTTGAATTATGCTTACAGGGTCTGTACTACAACCTTGAATTGTTCCGTGTGCGTGAGAGGCAGATTCCAGTGGATGTTGTAGAAATGAAAGGTTGGTAAATTCAGATTTTAATGCATGCATTGTTGGATCCTTCAAAGTTATTTATTGTAAGATAGTTGTTAAAAAAACAATATCATTTAGTGAAAATGTTGTGTTAATACAGGGTGTGCGGGTCAGTATTTCTATGTGAAACCTGAACAATGCAATATTAAATATTATTATTATTATCATTATTATTATTACAGTAGTTGCTTTATTGAAGAGGGTGATCTGTATGAAACAATTTCAGGCAAAGTTCAACAAGGACTTAATTGAATTAAGGGAATACATTGTACTTAAAGAGAGTGAATTAGCCTTGCTGCCATGGGTTTGCTAATACATTGGCATTGTACTATGGCACTTTCTCTGATTTACAAGTTGTATAATTAATGGTCTTACACTTTCATACATCTCAGAACTTTTTAGGCCACTCATTGCTCATTATAATTTAAGTAGCAGTAGTAATACATGCAAAAATTTGCAATTCACATAAAAGAATAGTTACTTGCATAATAGTACTTTAAACACTCCCACGTTGTCAGCCTCAAATATGTTATTAGTTGTTATTATCATATCAGGTAGCTCACTTAACCTGTGTAAAGTAATGGTGGGCATTTTGGCGTTTGTTCCCTCTCATTTCTCAGCCACACCCCCAACTTCCCCTCCTCATCAACACCACTTTACTTGATCAGTTGTAGTGATGGTGTTTTGGTTTTGGGAAGGGAGAGAAATGTTAACATGGTCTTCAGTGTCAGCTGTTTAATAAGTGCTGATACTGTCGTAAAAGTTAACTACATTATATTATATTATTTGAGGGTAATTTTTGACTTGTAGGTGACTCATCTCACACTCATTTCTTGTCTGTTCTTTTAACATGAATACAAATCTTTAGGATCCTAAGTCAAGTTGTTTTATAATAGTAATAATAATAGTAATAGTAATGATAATAAAAACTTTATTTAAGTCTCGAGCTTCTAGCTTAGCAAAAGTGCTGAAACTAATCGGGAAGACGTACCTTAAAAAAAAATTAAAATAAATATCAATATATGGAGACTAATGAATTAAAATAGCTATAAATAAAACCTAATATATTCTCTACATTTGTCTTATAGAGACATAACAAAAAAATTAAAATGAAAATAAATAACGATAGATAGAATCTAATGAATCAAAATAACTATAACTATAGAAAGAGCCTAATATATGTATTAAGACCTACATTACGTTAGTATTAAGCACTGCATAAAATACAATTCTTACAATTATTATTAAATGTGGGAAATGTTTAATGTTTGAAAGCCAGTTAGCTCTTATCCTTGGTTAACTGCCAAAAGGACATATAAGTTGTCATGGTAACAGGATTAGCACTAATTGTCTTTTGACCAACCAGGCCATGGTAGATAAGTGATCTCCTGCTAGACAACTCAGTTCAAAATTTATTGTTGAACTGATGCTGATAGTGTGCCAGCTGCTGAAATAACTTTTTGTCGTGTTTGGTACTCTCCCACTTACAGAAGCTGTTACTGCTTTTTCATGGGAGCCTGGCGGCAGCAAATTTGCTATAATCCACGGTGAAAGTCCCAGAATATCAGCCAGTTTCTACAATATGGAGGAGAAAGGCAAAGTTACGCTTTTAAGTGAGTATTACATTTTCTGATATTAAAAATGCATATGGTGGTTACACAATAATATTATGCCTTTAACAAACTTTTAATCATTCTTGTTTTGCTCACTTACTTTTTGGTTTATTTGGCAAAGTAACAGTGTTCCAGTGGTGCAACAATGTTTATGTGCTCTACAGATTATCCCTCTGTTTTTCTTTTTTTTTTCCCCAAAATTTGTCAATTTTCCTGTGTAGCCACTAGACAGTTTGACCTTTTTCAATGCAGTGGTTACAATAATTCTAGAATGTAAGCAAATGATGAAATTCTCCTAAAGCCAGTTCTGCTACTGAAGTTAAGTGTTGAGAACTGGGAGAGAACCAAACTGATGCTTAAATGTAATACAACAGCTTGACCGTAAGCAAGTGTTGTCAGCAGCAGTAGTACCAGTAAACAGCTGGTCAAACCTTTTACCCTAGCGGTAGTCAATTATGAAGACTTGCATTTCCATACTAACTTTGAAGTGTGTGGGATGTTATCCTATGTTGTGACCATTCAAATGAGCCTCTTCAGCAGTACTGTGATGTGTTACTAACGTAATTCATCTCCCATGAAATTAATAGGTAATCAAATGGTATACTCGTGAATTTAGAGAATAATTTCACTTTCGTTTTGTAATAGGATTTGGACAAAACGCGCGTGAAATTATTCCCTGATTTAACTCCCCGGATTACACATACGTATATTTTCAGAAAGTTGAAAACGGATATTAGGGAATTTTGTTGAGTTTCCAATGTTATGAAATTTTAGGTTTATGAGAATGAAGGACACAATTTTGAGAATTTTGAAAATTTCGCCTTTGACTAATGTGCATGGCAACTTGCTTTGTATTTGTTTGCAGAAACATTTGAGAAGAAACAAGTCAATAGTATATTCTGGTCACCTACTGGACAATTTTGCATTCTAGCTGGTCTTAGAAAGTAAGTTCGAGGGTAGTAAATCCAAAGAAGTAACCAGTGAAGACATTAAAAAGCTCAGTATTAAAAAGATCACAAGTTCTAATTTATTTTATTTTGCTGGTTGCTTCTTCTTTGAGATGGGGAGGGAATTCAAGAAAAACAACCTTTCATTGGTCCTTTTTAATCGCCTTAAAATCTTACACATTATACCGGTAGGTCTAATTAGCAAAAAGGAAAACAACTTGGCATGTGCAGCACACTTTTTTGTACATTTCTTTGACATTGTTTCGCACAACTATAACGTGAAAATTCCTAATTACACATCTTACATGTATGTAGGAAATGTCGTATGTGCTCACCAAAAGTTTTGTTGCTTGTGTTCTTGTTCGCTTTTTTTTTCCCTGCCGCTCATTTTCACCTTGGAGGCCGCTAACATTTCTCTTTTTTTCACCGCCAATTTTCATGTTTTTCTTCCAACGAAATTTGTCTCCTTTCTCGGATTTATAGATAACTAAATTTTCTTACCCGTGGTGATCCGCTATTAAAAAAAGTCAGGCTTCTTGAAATTCGAAACTTGATTCTCGTGTCTCGAAACTCGATTTGTTCGAGTTTCGAGACTCCAGCATCGAGTCCCAAGTCTCTTTTAAGCGGTTCCGTAGGATTTGCCGACCAGTTTTAGTTGTAACTAAACCTACCTGAGTGAAGCATACTAATTTCTGCTGCTTTTATTACAGGTGAAAACGAATTAGGCAACTTAACCTTTTGCTACCTACTGTACACATTTAAAGGAAATTACATGATTGCTAAATTAATAATAATAATAATAAAAAAGGTACAACGACATTGAATTTTGAATCACTGAATTATTTTCCTCTTTTGTCGTTTTTTTGTCAAAAATTTCTCATTTGAGGGCGTTAGAGAACAGCTAAGAAATTTTTTCTCTAGACCTGGGATCGTAACACAATGTTCTCAATCTGCTGCTAATGAAAACTAAACTGTCCTTCAGCTCTCACGCTAAGACTTAACAAACTGATTTTCATGATTTTAGTCAGTTTGGATAAAATAGGCCCTATGCAGCTAGCCATTCACGTGGTACAAAACCGCCACGCTGGAGAGCAAAAGTCGCACTGGGACATACAAGACATACATGATTTGAAATGGTAATTTTCTTTGTTTGTCTTGTCCCAGTGCGACTTTTGCTCTCCAGCACGGCGGTTTTGTACCACGTGAATGGCTAGCTGCAAAGGGCCTATAGGGACAGTAAAGAGAAGTGTGACGTCACATTACCATAGTAGCAAAATTTCAGGATCTTAATAGTCTTTCTTAACAGAGAAGGCCACTTGATTAGTCGACCAATGGAAGGCAAGACGAAGTATGGGCTTGCTACCGTTTTGTTTCTCAGTGCAAGCGTGCACGGGAAAGTCATACATGTCAATTTTTCCGTTTTCTTCGGCCAGATTTGTAGGACCACGGTTTGTTGGGATCCAAAAATTTTGCTACCATGGCAACGTGACGTAACTTCTTTCTCTATGGTGTAATTATTGTTTTTATTAGTGATGTTTGTATGTGTGCTCGTATTTTGCAGCATGAATGGTGTTTTAGAATTCTATGACACTGCTGATGTTGTGTGCATGAACCAGGCAGAACACTTTATGGCAACTGACGTGGAGTGGGACCCAACTGGCCGATTTGTTGCTACATCCGTCAGCTGGTGGGCACATAAGGTAGAATTTCGACTCTCTATTAGTCTAGTAAAGCAGCTTCCCACAACTTTAAGTTCTAGAAGCTGTGTCAGACTTGTCACTGTTCGACTAATATGAACAATCTGATTGAAATGTTCTCGTTTTCTATTCAGTGTTGTTAATGGCCCCTGTAATTCCTTGTGGTCTTGAGTCCTATCATACCCTCCTAACCAACACCAGTTCACATGTTTTGAACAATTGTAAAACTGGTGGCTCTGTTGCAGAGGAGGAAAAACAATGTAAACATGGTCTTCAGTGTCGACTGCCTTTTTAATTGCTGATACTAAAGTTTACGTTTGCAACATTCACCTCGGAAGTAACTCACTGGTGCTGCGCTACCACGCACCCAGAGTCAGGCTTTTCTCTCACTATATAAATTTGACACAAAGAGTTGGCTACATGTGGCTTCGCCCGCTGTTTTCTTCTCCCCATGGTGCGGGCTTGGATTAGGATGTAACAGGCCAGCTTTGAATTATCAAGATTCGTACTTGACTCCGAGGCTGAGTTGTATAATGCAGAAGAATTGAATCGTAAATCCTTGAATCTCAATGTGATTTCTTTTAATTTATTCCCCTCCGCCTCGTAGCCAAGTATAAATTATAATTAATTTATAACAGGCCCATAGAGAGGAAAAGTGTGACGTCACGTAACCATGGTAGCAAAATTTCTGGGTCACAAAATAGGGAGCTTAAGCTTCAACGACGGCTACGGCAACGAGAAAGGCAAAAACGCAATAGGTTTATATTAGCACAACATCATCTTGCAGGTGCATCACTCTTTTCATGTCTTAGCCGTGGTTGCACGTCTGCAACATGAAACTTCCAAACTTCACTCGCCCGCTTCTTGGAGTGCGTGAACATAACAAAAATTTCCTGTTTCTTTTCTAAACCTTAAATACGGTCCTTTCGGATTCAACCACTGAAAATTTCGCCAACATTTGACAAATTAAACAAAAGTGAATAAGATCGATGAGGTTGGAACAGTGCGATTTCCTTTTTAAAGTGATGTTTTCGGTTTTTTGTCAGTCTAGAAATTTTGCTACGATGGCAACGTGACGTAACGACTTCTCCTTTCTATTGTAGCTTGTGTCAGGCTCTCAGATAGGTCGCGAAAACTAGCTTCAGTTTTCACAATCTTTACCTTGAGGGATGTTGAAAAGCTATTCCTAAGAATCTCAATATTGAGATTCGAAGGAAACAAAATAAACTGTTTTTCTCCGAGGGACCAGTCTTCAAGCGATTTGTTATATAACCCACGGAGAAGAACTTTTTCGTGTACAAATTTATAATAAATCTCGCGAGCGGTCAACGTTCGCGGGTAAGTGGGTAACAGTGCCTTGTTACCCTCTGACGTCATAGATTTTGCAGTGTTGCCCGCTCAGAGATTTTGGCGGGAAACAGTTTCATTGTTAGATGTCATGTGACCTCAAAATAACCAATGAGAGCGCGCGCTGTTGGGAAAAAACTTCCAGCTACATAACAAAACAAAATTAACTGTTTCCCAAGTAACCAGTAGTCATTAAGTGTTTATTTTTAGCTGCACTCATGATTTTCTTGCATTTTTGTATTTTCTTTGTAGGTGGATAATGGTTATTATATCTGGTCATTTCAAGGAAAGCTTCTCCAGCGTCATGCTTTAGATCAGTTTTGTTCGTTGCTATGGAGACCCAGACCTCCTACCCTGCTGACGGAAGCTGATATTAAGGTAAGGTACTGGTGATGAACCTGACTGTGCTCAATGCTGCCTGGTAAACCAGCTTCACTTTGCAGCTGTGAAGGTTCTCTGCTTTCTTTGTGCCATTTCTTTTGTCTAGATCGGTGACTTTGAATTAAAACATCCTTTTCCTGCTGATACATCTTCCTCTATAGTCTTTGTGAAAAGCTTCCTTATGCCAAGAACGAGTCAACCAGGAATTTGCAGTGGTGGTACACGTTGGTTTCTTAACCCTTTCGCTGCTGGGAATTTTGCTGAAAAACGCGATTTGAAGCTAGTTGAGCCCGTTTTTGGCCACTGTCTGGTTATAAAGACCACAAAGCCGTTTACAGGTCGTACACTTCGCGGCCTTCTGATCTAGATGTAAAATATCAGCTTCCGAGGTTCGGGCGTGCGCAGAAAGGGTGACACAGCAGTCTTGACTTTTTCTTTTCGCTTTCTCTCCTCTCCTCCCCTCTTCTTTGGCTTTTCTTGCCTCAATGGGGCGAATTGGTTGAATTAGGTTTACGGAATCTTTCAGTTCGTTTTAGCAATATTTCTGGGTATAATATGGTATACTATGCTTCTTTCATTCTGGGGTATATTGAAGAAATTTTGGTTGAATTTGAGGAGGGGGGAGACTATTGGCTTTTTTTTAGACTAAGAGCTAAGAGCATATTTATTCAGTTATACAAACTACTAATTCTTACGTAAAACTGAAAAGTGCATATATGTTAACAGTAATGGAAAGTAACGTATGCTCTATTTCAGAATATCAAGAAGGACATCAAGAAATTCCAGCGCATGTTTGAGATCAAGGATCGAATGAGCCAGTCTCGAGCATCCAAGGTGAGCCTATTGACGCTTTGAAGTTGAAAAATGTGCATCTGTGTTGTGGGCTTTTAATCAAAGTGATCACACAAAGGCGCAATACATATTGGTAAAACTTGCGAAGTTGTCGTGAAATTGTAACAACAAGTGTAAGAATTTAGCAAATCTATAGAAGTTTATCAACATACAAATTTTACTATTTTGAGAAAGCAACTGTGACTTTTCTTGCTAACTAAGACTAAATCGTGGACCTGCCAATCACCAGAGACAGTAAATCAAATAAACCAATCAGAGCTCGAAGCAGTACTGGTGAACGGCAAGCTCCGAAATACAAACACTTTGGTTTCAATTCCGCTTCTGATTGTCAAGAAAATGGCGGAAGGATTTTAACAATGCGTGAGCAATGACAAACCGAAGAAGTAGAAAAATTATTGTCAGCATGTTATAGACACTCCTCTCTCCTAAGAAATTACTGTTTTAATGTAACCTCCTTCTTGGCATCTTTGCATGGCATGTTTTGGATGTCGGTTGCAAACGGTGTATGTGTGGAGGAAGAGTTCGGCGTGGTCGTCTTCAGAACTGAAGCTGATAGATGCTTTCGTTCTTCCTAAAACCGCGCTACATGTGAATAAATAAGAATAGAGATTTGACTGTTGGGACATTGTATTACAAAAAAAATTCTTCAAAACGAGGCTGCGAATAGCAGCAAATGTCATCACTGATTAAGAGACCCGGATGAGTTCCAAAAGCTCTGCGTAACTTTCAGAAAATTGCAAGGTGTTGAAGAATATTTTTCTGTTATATTTGACTTTCTTTGTGTAGGAAACGTCAACCGATAGTGCATACGGGGCGTCTTAAAGACAAGAAATAGAAAAAAGTTGTTTAGTTTCGTATTGTGCATACAATATTTTATGTTTTTACCTTTAGGAGCTGATTGAGAGGCGGCGACGAAAGATGAAAGATTATCAGGGCTACAGACAGAAGAAGAACATGGAGTTTACGCAGCAGAAGGCGCTGCGCTTGGAATTACGAAATGGTAAGTGGAAAAATGCTGGTATCATGTGTCATGTAAATCATAAGTTATAAGTAATTTTTTGCTTGGAAATGGGCCGTGTCGAACGCTCCGAGCCCTGGACTTGCAATCCCATGTCTCGTGTGGCCGTGTTCATGTTCAGCCTGGGCCTAGTAACATTAAAAGTAACGGTAGACCTAGCAGCCAACGTCCGACACTTTCCTCATTCAAACTCTTTATTTTAACACCCGAAAGTAGTGGTTTAATACGTCTTAAGATTTGTTTGTTTATATCCAACCGGTTGGTATCCTGTCAGTTAGGATTTTTAGGTGTGAGTTATTTGTTTCAGTTACCCCGTGAAGCTCTTAAAGAGGAGAGGATATTGAAGTATTTGTTTGTTTGTTTTTTCCTGTTAGGTATTGACACGGATGAGTTGGACAGTAATGCAGATGAGTTTGAGGACGAGTCGGTGGAGTTCTTTATCAAAGAAGAGACCACCGAAGTTGAGGAGTAGTTCATATTTGTTTGACGTCATTTTCCCGAAAGAGAGCGCCACAGTCCCAACAAGTGAAAAGAAAACAAGTTATTTGATTCGAAATATTCCTGTCTTGTTCAGACAAACTGAGTGCTTTAGACTGATTCTAATAGGCACTTGGTATCATACAAGTTTAACACAAAAGGTTCTGATTTAGTGTTTGCTCTGTAGTGTGTAGTAGTTCTATAATAGCCAATTTTCTCTGTGATAGATCTGACCAGTGATTGTAGCCTTTTAACTATAGTTGTGTAGAAATGAGTAGTACAAAAAGCTGTTGGTTTGTACCAAAACGCGAGTTCCTTTTGAGGATCTCGCACTGTTTAATCAAAATTTTAATTCCCAACATCCATTATAAAATCAACCTTTCTGCTCGTCATAGGAAATTAAAATGGAATATTGTCTGTTCACTTGTTGTTGTTAATTGTCTTTTCTCCTTCGATATATACCATTGTCATTGGGTAAAAGGCCACTTTAGAAACCTGAAGGGAACTGGGGCCGAAATGCGCCCCGCAATTGTTTCTGAGATTGTTACTGGGGACAAAAGGGGTTCCAGAAGTCTTTGCAAATTAACTCGACCCAGTTTCCTTTTCGTTTCTTTAGTGGCGAATGACCGAATTGAGTGTTGCCCATAAAATTTGCAGGCGCACGATCTGACACTTGAGAGCGCCGCTTCTGACGCGTTATGAAACATCAAAATACTTTGCCGGGGCATAACTTGTCCCGGTCACACGCATTAGCTGTAATACAAATGCTAGCGAAAAGTAGATAATTGATGCCTACAAAAGTAGCTCAACGCATGATCGCTCTACGCTCCTACATTTTGCAGTGTGAATGTTTGCCATGCGCTTGCGCCCAAATGTTCTTCAGCCTGATTTCCATTCGCCACTGAGAGTGAGAGACTGGGTCGGTGTCGTGCCCAATTGCACTATGGGACTGTTTTTGACTGCTTTTTTGAGACCAGACATGTGGACTGAGACGGCTGCATAGCCGGTGCGCCTTTACATGCTGACGTCCAATCTCACCTCTGCACTGGTTCCTCTGTAATTCTGGCACTAGCTGTAAGACCCGGGGGTGGGGGCCACCCAACATGACAAAGTTTTAAAGTACAAGTAAGGGTTATTTACCTGGAACGAGGGGGTATGTGATATATTTACCTGGTACCGCTCCGAGCTAAGAGTAACCCCATCTCGGAACTGCAAGAGAAAGAAACTAACACCACCATTTCTTTCTTTCTTTCTTTCTTGGCTTGTTCCATAAAAATCACATTATTTCGTCAACCCACACCTTGTTGGCTCCTTTGTTTACAAGAACCTGATTTTTAAAGCATCAGTTGCTAATTCAGATTCGGGCAATAAATCAGTTGGCACACCTAAGTTACATTCCCAACATTCGCTGATAGTAACTGAAAAAAAAAATCCGAAAAAAACAGGTCCGCAGAAAGTTAATTCAGTTGCTTAGTGATCCCGACTGAAATAATACACATCAAATTTGCATATATCCAGTGACTGTCTTTTATAAACAAAACCCGTTTTTTTAAATCATACTCATTGTTTCGTCTCAATGAATATTATGTTTCCTTTGTAATTCAAGCTTTCAGCTGCAGATGCAAAATATACTTATGAGCTTCAAATAAATAATGTATTTGCACTGCCGACAGTGGTGTTGCTTTGAGATAAGTGTTGTATGCAAAGACAGTTACGATTTTATTCGACAGTTACTTCACCACAATCCCGTTTAGAATCGGCTTGGATTTAACTTTAATGAAAACATGGAAGGCAACAGGCGAAATAGAGAAAATACTGTCTTGGAATTTTTCTGAATAATGACGATTGCGGGCTCAAAAGCGGAGGAATACGTCCAAAAAATCAACAGACTTTATGACCTCCACTTAGCAAGAGAATTACGCCACTTAGAAGACGAGAGAAGGTTTTATCTAAAGACGTTTCGTACCGAATTCAAGCTGGTGATAGAGAAGCGACAGAAAATAAGAAACAAAGCTAAAGAGTACAGGCGCCTACGAGTTTTAAAGAACCAAGAGATATCGGCCCCCGAAGGTTTTCGTGAGGGTAACGAGGAAATATTCATCACCGAGGTTGGGACAAACAGCTCCGAAGTTTAAAACTATTATCTTTTCATTCAGGAGTTAAAACTGGTGGGTTTTTGTATGATTTGTGGCAAGGAACAGTCCCTCGAGACTGTCAACGTGAGAGTGATTTGAACGATTTTCTGAGTCGGAATTTCTGATGACTTTAGAACATGTATTATGTGTGATACTTATTGGAAAAAAAGGCTGAACTGAGCTACGTAAATACTTCAGTAACATTTACTGCATCTGTCGCCCCTTGTTATTCACTATTGGTAAGTCTACGACGAGCACACAGATAACGATTTGGTACTTTTTTTGCAGGGATGGATTACCCTGCGTTCCAGTCACGGCCCGTTCTCTAAACACCTAGGCCAGGATGAAATTAAATAAACCGTGCTCAGGGTTTGTTAAAGCTCCCGCTTTGCGCCTCGCTATCGCGGCTTCGCAGTGAACTATCAGAAGCTCGCAAAAAAAAAACAAAACAGAAAAACCGTCTGGGTAGGGATGGATAATTTGTCAACAATATTTGTCACGAGATAATAGACTGGATGGTTATCAAAGAAATCACAAAAGCTTTGTGTTGAACTTTTACACTATTCGGCGAATAATAATAGTAATAATGATAATAATAATAATAATACTAATACTGAAAAAAATGGAACGTGACGTAAATAGAAACGTATACAGTTTCTTTGTTAAAAAGAAAAAGAACTCAAAAGCACAACCAATAAAATTAAACAAAACCTCTTTTCTTTCTTATTACCAACCAAAGGGAGATAACTAACGTGCTTACCGTTTGGTTGAAGGATGATCATTTTTAGTGCACATAAGGACAAACTTAACCAGTCTGAGCAGGAGCCCATCAAATGGAGCCTCCATCTCCCATACAAGCCCTTGGAGTCAACCTTTCCCGAGTAGATTTATAATTAGAACGGTTCCCAGGGGAGACTTCGCGCGCCGACGGTGGGAAGAGCCAATCACAACGACGAAATGACGCTGCTATTGTACTTCATCAAACAGCAGGAAATTCGTTGTTGACAGGCCAAACACAATCATAAGCTAGCGTTTTCATCCCTCAGAGATTTTCTTTATTTTTTCTTGCTAGCGGGTAGATTATACTGTGGAGAATTTTAAACTCTGACTTTTTTAATCTTAATTTTGGTTGCTTGTCTCACATTAAGAGATCTGGTTTGACGAATATTTCTCCGCTTACTTTGGCCAAATTGAAATCTTTTATGAAAACCAGATTGCAAACTAGGTTAATATTAACACAACAACTTCGGTCATACTGTGTAGAAGACTATCCTTTAGGACTTTGATTCTAATTTTCTGATGTGTATCCTTAGTCACCCTAGTCACTCTAATCACCCTCCCTCCTCTTCTTTGAATGAATAGCGTGACATTCAAAAATAGCGTGACTATGATAATGACATGCACCACTAGCGTGATGTCTGATGTCTGTATTATCGGTCACGTGATCGTCATTTCGTTTAGATCGCTTTCTTTCTCTGTAGTTCCGCTTCGTCGTAAAGCTTCCTCCTGTGCATGTTTTCAGTCATTAAATCAGATTTCCTTGGGTTTTTTTGTGCAAGGTGAGTAATTTTGCGTTGGTTATTCAGCTTAGTCATGCTCACAGATTAACTCAGACTAATTTGCTGTCGTAGTTTTGTATCAGATTGGAAGCTTTGTATGTGCTGATTTTAAGACCCACTCGTTCGCCATACACTAACTAAAGAATTTGATAGCCTCGGCATACTTAATTATTGCTACTGTCATGAGCACTGTTCGGTGCATGGTATAGAATTGGGGTGACAAAAAGGGTTTATTTGTTGTGACCTCTTCAAAACCGTTATAATTTTCGCGTTATCATCCGAATCAGACAACAATTGCGTGTACATTTCGTTATACATAGGTCTACGAGATCATAAAAGATTGCAATCTCTGTCTCTCAACTTGGGTCACACTGCTCTGATGACATGTCTTTCTCTCTTCCAATTTTGTTTTGAAATGGTTTTTTGGTGGAATTGTCCAAGTTTGAGGTCAACATTAAAGGGAAAGGGAAAAGGAGGTCGAGCACAACATGTCAACGTTATTCGTTTCTAATGTCCCGAATTGTGGATTTACATCCTGACAGCTAGTCTCCCTTTCGTTAAAAATATGATCACCAAAGAAGTTGTTATTATCCATTTACCCTGAATATCACGTCGAAACAAGGCGGTGGGTAATTCGTTGTCCACGATCAAAGCTAACGCTTGTTTTATATTTGGAATAGGAAAGGAATGTTCATTTAAAATTGTTTATGCAATCATTTACGTCTATTGATCAGGTTCATAGCCTGAGGCGCCATACACTCTTTTGTTTTAATAAAAATGTTGTTTTTCTGGCCCGTGCTGAATATTCTTATTTTTCTGCCGATTTTAGGCTGAAGATATTCTTGTATTATTCTTATAAATTGTAGCCTCTCACTTTTCCCTTTTAGAATGTGTTTGGGTATAAACTGCTATTAATGCCAATGGCGCGTTGTTTTTTCTTTTTGTTGGCTAGTTTTACCATTAAGAGAAAGGAATAATTTCACGGTTAAGTTAAAAACATATAATTGTATTGTATTAGCAGATTTTCAGCACACAAAATTATGTCCTTTTTAGCCGCGGGTTTATTCTTATCATATTCTTAAGATTTTGCAAATTTCATTCTCGATATTCTTATAAAATTAAGTCAAATCGTTGCGTTAATGCGAACACTGAATGTGCGATAGAAAAGGTCCGTATTGAAGGAGTAAAGGCTTTCCCAGGGACAAAGAAAACTGTCCGTAACAACGATGTGTCCATATTAAGTGGGTGTCCGTAGAGCGGGGTTTGACTGTACATTCTACTAGAAAAAAGAGGGTAGTAAAACCCTATCAGTCCTAACAGTGAGTGACCAACTAATTTAAGTAAGTAATTTTAGTTTTGAGGAGCACATTAAGAACATTTGTAAATCATCATTCTATCATTTGAGAAATATTGCTAAAATCCGCAAGTACTTAAGCCAAGATACATGTGAAATCTTAGTCCATGCATTTATTAGTTCGAAACTTGATCACTGTAATTCCTTATTACATGGCCTTCCTAAGTATCTGTTAGCTAGACTACAGGCAGTTCAGAATGCTGCAGCTCGTGTTGTCACACTGACACCGAAGCATGTTCATATAACTCCTATTTTAATTAATCTTCATTGGTTACCAGTTGAGTTTAGAATAACTTTTAAAGTCCTTTTATTGGTATACAAGGCCCTTCATGGCCTTGCACCTTCTTATATTTCTGACCTTTTGAATTTTAAAA